TTGGTGAATCCATGCTGACTACTCCTGATCCCCTTCTTGTCCTCCACATGCTTAGTGATGACCTCCAAGATGAGTGGCTCCATCACCTTTCCAGGGATGGAGGTGAGGCTGACAGGCCTGGAGTTCCCTGGCTCCTCCTTCTTGCCCTTTTTGAAGACTGGCGTGACCTTGGCTTTCGTCCAGTCCTCAGGCACCTCTCCTGATCGCCAGGACCTTTCAGAGATGATTGAGAGTGGCCTAGCAACGATGCTCATCCGCTCCCTCAGCGCTCGTGGGTGCATCCCATCGGGGCCCATGGACTTGTGAGGGTCAAATTTGCCTAAATGATCTCTAACCCAATCCTATTCCACCAGGGGAAAGTCTTTCTTTCTCCAGACTTTCTCCCTGAGGGCTGACCTTGGCAGGTCAGGGATCCCTGAGGACTGACCTTAGCAGCGAAGACTGAAGCAAAGAAGGCATTCAGTATCTCTGCCTTCTCTGCGTCTTCTGTCGCCAGGGTCCCTGCCCCATCCAGCAGTGGGCCCACGTTTTCCCTAGTTGTCCTTTTGTTAATGGTATGTTTGTAGAATCCCTTCTTGTAGGCCTTGACATTCCTTGCCAGATTTAATTCCAAGCGGGCCTCGGTCTTCCTTGTCGCATTTCTGCATACTCTGACAACGTCCCTATATTCATCCCAAGTGGCCTGTCCCTGCTTCCGCCTCCTGTACACTTCCTGCTTATGTTTGAGTTTTGTCAGGAGTTCTTGTTCATCCATGCAAGTCTCCTGCCCCCTTTTGCTTGAGTTCTTGCTCATAAAGATGCACCGTTCTTGAGCCTGGAGGAAGTGATCCTTGTATATTAACCAGCTGTTTTGGACCCCCTTTCTTTCGAGGGCCTGATCCCATGGGATTCTTCCAAGAAGGCCCCTAAAAGAGGCCAAAGTTAGCTCTCCTGAAGTCCAGGTTGCGATCCCATTTACTGCTCTGCTTCCTCCTCACAGGTTCCTGAGCTCCATGATCTCATGGTCACTGCAGCCAAGGCTGCCCCCAACCTTCACATCTCCAACCAGTCCTTGTTTGTTCGTACAAAGTTGAGTAGCACAACTCTCCTCGTTGGCTCCACCACCTGTGTCTAAAAGTTATCATCAATGCTCTGCAGGAACCTCTTTGACTGTTTGTGCCTAGCTGTGTTGTTCCTCCAGCAGATGTCATGATGGTTGAAGTCCTCCATGAGAACCAGGGCCTGATTGTGAGGCTACTTCCAACTGTCTGTAAGAGGCCTCATTTACTTTCTCCTCCTGGTCAGGTGGCCTGTAGCAAACGCCCACAGTGTCACCCTTATTAGTCTACCTTTTAATCCTTACCCATAAGCTCTCGACCTGCTCTCATCATTCACCCCAAGCAAGAGCTCCATACATTCCATGTGTTCTCTCACATAAAGGGCAACTCCACCACCTCACCTTCCTGGCCTGTCTTTCCTAAAAGGCATACAGCCATTCATGACAACATTCCAGTTACGCGAACTATCCCACTATCTCTCTGTAATTGCAATGAGATCAAAGCCCTGCGACCGCACACAGATCTCTAACTCTTCCTGTTTACTCCCCATGCTCTGTGTATTGGTGTACAAGCACTTCAGAGAGGTATTCAAGCATGCCAGCTTCCCAGAAGAGGAAACTGGTTCCTCTAGCCAGCAACGCTCATTCACAATAAATGCCAGTGTAAGGAGTGGGAATCAGTTATTTAACTTTTCTTTTTATAAAGCTCTGAAAATGCTTTAGGAAGCTAAGTAACCAACTTTCACGACAAAGCAGCCAGCATTCTGCACCAGGAAGTTAGTCAGGAAGAAGTACTAGAGCAAAGGAGTTCATGCTTTTAGTGACAAAGATGTGCCAGACTGAATCAAATCAGATATTTTTAAGACGTTCCAGAAGTAGTGCATTTGGCTAGTGTGAATCTCCCGGTAGAACACACAATTTTATATAAATTTTATTTATTTATTAGGTATATGTTCAAAACAAATCAAGTACAAGATTCTTTAAAGTTCCAGAATGGAAGTTTCCTTCACTTCAATTGTTCAGCCTTCTATGTTTTATTACCATATTTAAACTACTAGCCAGGTACACAAAGCTCTTGTTAAAAGGATGCCAAAACAAAGACTGATACATGCCCATTATGAAGCTAACAGGTAATCAAGAACAGGAAAAAGCCTTAGCATATTAGTGTATGCTACTCAAAAATACTCACAGAATATAGAAGCCATCTAAAAAAAAAAAAATATAGCAAGTACTTAAGGAAGTACTTAAGGAAAATTACAGAAGATCCAAGAAGTTTTGCTTGAAAGCACAACTAAGTGCTGTGATTGGGAACTTAAGAAAAGGTGTGACAAATAAACAGAATCTCAACACCCAGAAGCATCCCTATTATGTGGTCTCCAAATGCTGAATGCTTCAACAGAAAAGATGAGAAAAGTATAAGCAGTTTAAGACTAACAAATAAACTGACTGGGATACACTGTAAATCCATAAAGGCTCTAGTAGTCTTGTAATCCACAGCTTCCATTTTTTGGCACGTGCTGTAATTAAGGACCATGAATGGCTACTTTTTCCTCCAGGTTTTGCAAGTGCAATTTCATGTAACCATCTAGACATCCAGTGTGTTTTTCCTCTGATTTAATACAATTTTGATTACTTTAACTTTGATGAAGGTGTTATATAACCAAAGCTAATTAAAGTACCATCAAGTAGGCAAAAAAGGGGATAGAGCACTTGAGCGTACCAACTGAAGGGAAGGCTAAAGCACAGGTTGTCTGAGGTTAAAAAATACCTCAGAACTCTGAAACACTTCCAAAAGAGCTCGTACACCTTAAAAATTACATCAAAGGTTAAATCTGTAATAAATACATGTTTTCCAGTTTGAGTGTTCACTAGGTTCACAAGTGGCTATGGTTACTGTACTTTATACTGAACTAGATATTGTAGGTAGCATTGGACATGCTTTGCTACAACTACAGGTTGCTCATTTTAGTCCTTTGACTTGCAGAAGTCAAACATCCTTAGAGGTCAAATTCTCATCAGTACTAGAATTTAAAACATTTAAGAGACTTCTAGTTAAAAGAGACATTTAAGCAGTCATAAGTATCTAGCATAACTCAGCAGTCAAAACGATTTCGACAAAAGCAAAAAAGAATTCAGTTCCTGAACCCTTCAGGTCCCAACACTTCCATTCAAGGTCTTTATGAGAAAGACTAATTCCTTCAAGATCTCTAATATTCTGTTTTTACAGCCTCTTTGCTGATAGCGCATTTTTTTAAGTGAGTCTCAGCCAAATGCCACAATTAAGACTGAAATCCTACTGTTTCAGTACTGCATAAGCAAAAAGAATCCCTATCTAATAGCTAAGAAAAGATACTGGAATAGGTTTATAAGGTATCCCCAATTGTACCCTTAGCTGGCACTCAAGAACTCCACAATAGCCCCTCCCCCCATTGTGTTAACATGAGGAAGTAGAAGTTGGCTTTGATTAAGCTTATAGTTATGCAAAAAGCCCCAGTGTTCAAAATCCTCTGTTTATTAAACTGCTAATGATTAGTATATGCACTAAAGAAGAGTCCCACACCAAGAGCTTTTTGGCATCAGAATTTTTGTACACCTGTAGACATTTAACAAAATATTAACCAGCATTAGGACTAGAACAACTGACATTTCTTATGAACATACGCTGTGGTCTCCGGTACAGAAATTTAAGTCATCTCTCTGCTGTTAACTTGGTAAAGCTAACTTGCTTGGCATATCATGTTTTAGAATAATAAAGGAACAAGATTTGCACATACATTGAAAGGTAAAGAGACCCTGAGGCTTAGCCTTTTTATTCTAGTAACACCTCTTCCCAACTCTTTCAGAGATTGTTGATACAGTCTCTCATCCCCTCAAAGCCAAAATAAGCATGAAGCATTCCCAAGATCAGCAGAGGTTTAAACAATCTTAGTACTGCTTAAACAAACACACATTCAAAACTTTGAAAGGAGTCACTAAAGTAGACACAAATGAGGCTGCTTCCTACCCATCTACAAAAGCACAAATACAGCGTTTGCAGACTTTTCTGCGTATGTGCTTCTCCAACAATAAAAATCTATCCATTAAAAGCACTGTTACAATTAAACAAGAGAAATAGCACCATAATGGAAACTGTTAAGTGAAACAAAGCAGACGCACACTGTGGTATTACTACCACACCCTGAAAGTCTCAGTACTGAGATTGAAGCTATAGAGTGGATATAGCTATGGGGAGAGAAAGGAATGAGTCAAACAACAGCTTTCAGTGAAGTAGATTAAAATCAAAAATAAGTCCCTTTAACACATTATTATGTTGGATCACTCACCTGTTTTATTTTGTTTTTTTTTTTTTTTTAAAAAAAAAACACAACACTTTCCAGTTAAGCTTATAAACTCCTAAGGTCACAGATGTGAACTACGTGAAGTGAAACGTAGATAACATTATTGGAGTGCCTGGGTTACCAGACAAACCAGAAGAGATTCCAAACACCAAAACAGAATACAATATCCTTCCAGATACTAAGAGCTACTTTTATTGAATAATTTCTTTTATTAAAACACAGCGTATTTCACACAATACCTGGTTCTTGAGTGACATCCACCTTTCCCACAGTGATGTCTAGATGTTCACTTTCCTTTGCAAAGCTCTCCCACGTCAATTCAATTTGTTGACAAGCTGGACACCAAGGAGCATAGCTAATGGAGGAAACAGGTTAAATATTTTAGTACTCTTATCCTTACACACAAATTGATTTACTGTACAGAGAAAATACGAAAGTATCAATCACACAGGAAAACTGCAGTTCTTAATCAAGTCTACTGAATAAGATAATCAAATAGTTTTCTATCAACCCATACAGTCCTCCTCACGTTATTAAAAACAAATGCCCATACTTGAGAAATCCATATCCAAATGCCTCACAACTCAGCACATATGATTCACTTCATCTACACACAGAAATAGATCCATTTATATAGCGGCTCTCTGAATTGCTGAAGTCAGGCTGTCCTCTGAAGGGGCATGTAACATTTTGTATTGACTTCACACACCTCAGAACTTCTGGAAATTACATTTGCTTTAGCCCACCACTCAATACATCAAAGCACGCCCTTTGTGACAGCACTCTTCAGAGATTTAAAAGTAGTTCAAATCAAGTTCCTAGTGCTCACACTAGGAGTTTCCAATTGTGATTACTACTGATAGTATAAACATCAAGGAAAGAACAGCTAATTTAGAAAGAATAATATCAGATAGCATGATCAGATCCACAACATCAGATAAGACACTGCTTAAATGCTGATAGGACCCCATTTGCCATCTTTACTTACTTCACCCTAACCTGGTTTATAAAGGCTAAGACAAACTTCTGCAGCTTGCAATGGTCTGCCACACATGCAATTAAGATAACATGCACACGTACATATATAACTAAAAGTTAACACTATTTATCTAAGTATAGTACATAACTGAGCTGTGGCAATCACCCATATACACATTTAGGATTTTGCAAATGAAAAATAAAAGACAGGTGGTTTACCCATATACATGGGGGGGGGAGGGTAAACACGTTTGTTGTCTTAAAATGAAAGAACGCAAAAATAGCGGGTCTAGGAACACCCTATTTCTCATAGCATTTCATGTGTGCTATCATGCTTTTCATCCACAGCTAACAACAAAAAAAGAAGAGATGTACAGCAAAGAAACCTGAAAAAGCTAGGAACAAAAGCCCAAAACGTTTATCTTAGTCTCAAGAGCAATGCGAGCGAGAATGTCTTCTCATTGGTTTTCCCTTTATAACTGCAGCACCACATCTGAAGTCTGTCTTCCTTCTGCACAATGAAGTGTAATATACAACACACATTTTAGCAGCTGTCAACCACTTAAGTGTAGATACTCAGCCTGAAAGAACACTGGGGTGTCTAATAGTCCATTTTCGTCTCTAAATCCAGCTCAAACAAGAAAGTTTCCTTGACACCCATTTCTAGGTGAGCACATCTGTACCCTGATCTTACTGCATTTTGCTGCTATGTTTCACTCAAAGATAAGACAGGAGAACTAAACGCACAATTAATCACTATTTACGATGCATAATATAAGTAAGAAATTCTATTTCTTTCCTAGGAGTTTCATTGCAATCCTGATAAAAAATGAAGGAACAGACCAAGACTTAGAGATTGCTCTAGGAACAGTCATTGTGGTCAAGTCTCCTGTTCTCAAAGATGCTTAGCTTAATTTCCTGGTGACGTAAGAAACACCACGAGTGATCATGGTGAGCACTCAAGAGGATATGCTATTGCATGGACTCGCATGGATTGGGATAGACTCAATCAAGTTACAGACAGCAGATTTTGAGAAGAAAGCATCAGGGAGATGCTTTTGCGAAGTTAAGAGTGGGAGAGAAGAATCACGGCCCAGACAATCATCACCCCTCAACGGCTTTCTGACACTTGCAACATCCATACCTAGCACCTAACCTGGGCAAAAACAAGTGAGAACAACTAATCTCTCAGGCTAGAATACAGCCAATGGTGCCAGTTACCACAGTTTTCAGTGTCCCTTCCTCGTGAAGGATAAGTCAAGAACTTCACATAAAATAAGCGGGTATCTTCAGTTCTGCTGTAGGCAGGATGCAACCAAGTCCAGCATCTGCGCAGGCAGATAACAGCCTGTGAGAAAGGAATTCCTTCATGCACTGAATCTGGCATCCTTAACAGCCTACTTATCTACCGTACTCTAACTGGAAGCCTCAGTAAAGAGCTGCGCTACCCCTCTGGACTGTCCGGCAGTATCACAATCTGACTGGAATAGAGGCACTATATATTGCTTGCTGGTCTTCCAATGAGGAATGTTTACATTCTTATTGGCTGGGAGAGATATTTCTCCAGTTAGCCATAAATATTTCATGTAAATTAGACTGAACGGAAACAGGCAATTTCTCATAGAAGAGGCAGAATCAAATTTACGCTGAGCATTTAATAAATTTTTAATAGTAATTTTGAAACCTAAGTATTTCAACAGGAGAATCCTGTCATTTAAAAGTTAAAAGGATACAATTTGAAAATAAGCATTGTCTTTTGGTTGTGCTATAGGTGTATGATTTCAGAAAGTTAACACAGTAGTTGTGAAGCAGCACCACTCTGTATGAGACCATTTGGAAAAAAGTATGAACCTTATCCCGCCAGGAAACGGACCTTCAGTATCTTTCTAAAAGATATTGGAAATATATTAGAAATTTCATATGCAGAACTACTGTTTTACATTGTACTGCTGGCCTGCAGAGTACTGTTAATAACAGCTTGACAGAATCTATACATTAAAGCAGAAACTACATTTTACTACAACAGCGTGATTAAGAAACTGCACAACTGTCAGATAATGCTGCTGATGTTACTCTAGCAAAGACAGAATTAGGAACGTATTCTAAATCCAGCTTCTCTAGATGGGTCACACTCATGCCATGAGATTCCCAAGATTAAAGTATCCTTCAGCCCGTTTAAGGTACCATCTGACCTTAAAAATGCAAATTTGGCCCATATTAACATTCCTATTTTAATTTGACGTTCATGACAGTTCCTTCTAAATGAAATTAAGCGGAATTTTGAATACACACATGGCTGAGATGATATCAAGTAATTAGAACCATCTTTTCTTTAGCCCAAAGACATGTTAAACACCACCTATACTGCAGTTCGGTAGTGCCAGAACATACTTTGGCTTCCTAGTTTTTCTATTAATATCAGAAGGGGGATGAAACTACAAGATCCAGTCACTCCAGCTGAGCATTGGCACATACAGTTTGACTCATCAGAATGGCTTTACATTCCAGAAATTAAATTTTTTGCTAGTCAGGAAACACCCTGTCCCCACATATAACAAAACAGGAAGCTTGCAACGGACATTTGGATATAGACTTCTATTGAATCCTTTAAAATTGTGTGTGCTTCACATTTCTGCAAGACTCATGGGACAGCTACCATCCCATACTCCTCACAGCAAATCTGTAGGAGCAGAAAGAGAGGTTTGTGCATGTACTGTGAACCTAGTCTCCATTATTTTTGATCATGGCACAGGATCAAAAAAAATGGTCACTAGCAGACGTAATCAAATTTCTTCCATCATGATAAAAAAACCCCAAACCCAACCACTCACAACAAGCTATTGTAATTTAAGTCAAGCCCAGCACATTCCTATGAATTATATAACTCAAGCAGGTATTGCACACTTGTCAACATACATCCCTCATGCGCAGTCTTACCAGACTTCTTACACAGCATGAAGTTTTACAATTAGAATATCTGTGGACATTATCTTCTCTGCATTAGGAGAAATGACTAACGTCTCATGGTGTGGTCCATGCAAGAACAATAGACTCAACTGGTAGTAAAATCATTATTTCAAATGACAATGAAAGCATCTAGTGCTTTCTAGTTTCCATTCCCATCTATTCCAATACTCAAATATTTTTCAGATGGTACCAAAAAGCAATCCAGAAGCAGAAGTTTAAGTTCTTAAAAATGAAGGTCAAGAAAAGTAAATTCTATGTCTATCTCTGATCCAAAGCTGGATCAGCTTAGATTTGCTGTGATTTGTGCACTGCACAGGCAGAAAACAGCAAGCCTCTGCTTTCAAGTCCCAGCAACTGCAATGATGGCTGCAACACACAGAAAAATAAAACTTACCTTCACACCAGGTTGAACAAACAAACTATTCAGCCATATGATCATAGAGTGAATGGTAAACACAGAATGACTTCACTAAGATTTACTGATACATAGTTTCCAACTTCAAGTCACTAGTCTTATCTCTTCTTCAAATTACCTGGCTAAGGAATTCACCAATTCACTCATTTGCAGATAAGTGTAATTGACTGCTGTTATCAACATTAGTAGTACAATCAGTCAGATCAGTCATTATCAGTGTTGAACAGATGCAACACTGAATACCATTCTACATTTTGTTCCAAGGGCAAATTCAGGAAGAAAAATCTAGGAAAAAAGGAAAAACAGGCTACATTCAATAGGCACACAAGGATTTGCTGAAGAGGAGCAGCAAAATAGGCAAGATGAAAGTTTCCTATTTTGTCTAGCTTTTCTCTCTTCTCAGGACACACTACTCTTCTCTCCCTTTTATGCTTTTGTAAGCAGTAACTTTCAATCTAGTAAGTTTCAGATTGGAGTTAGGTTAAGAGGTGCAATTGTTGAAATAATACCTAATAGAAGGGGAATGGCAATATTAGGATAAAAGTAGTAATTTTATCCTTTTTTTAAATCCTACCACTATCGATTTCATAAACATGTTGGACTTGTCTAATAGAAACCAGAAATTCTGGACACTACTGAAACACCAAATTAGTATTTAGAAAAAGAAAATACTTGATACCTGTAACAGTCCAACACAGGAATTTATTAAATGCTCAGTCACCTATGTCAACTCTAAAAGTGTAGAAGAGAATGATGCTTTCACATGTCCAGTAAAAATTAACTCTATAAAAGAATATTTAAAAAGTTGAAAGGGAAAGTTCAAGCTTCCCCAAACCTTCTTAAAAAAAAAAGAAGGGTGAACCACAAATGACTAATTACTGCTACAGGAAAATTTCATTTAATCCAAGCTGCAATGGCCTTAAAGCTTCAATATACTAGCCTAGAAAAAAACTTAGAACTATAATGCTCAGACCCTTTTAGCTTCTTTGAAGCATTTAAGAAAAAAAAAGAAAAAAAAACACATAGTATTTCAATCTGCTTTTAAAAAAGGTGCTAATACTAGGAAGCAAAAGCAAGTGTACTATATTACATTATTTGCACCTTAGAAATTTCATTTACTAGGTCTTCTATGCCTTTATACATTCAAACTATGTGATGAGATGTTGCAGCACAAGTTGTTATTCTTTAGGCTAGCTTCTCCTGCTTCACTTCTTTCAGATGGCTCTGCCTCTCACTATTCTCTGCACTCTCCCTCCTTTATTCTTTCAAGTAAGAGCTTCCCAACCATTTCTCTGATTCGTCTCCTTTCATTAGCCTCTCTGTAAAGTTAGTTCAAAACAAACAAAAAAAAGCACTAAATAGCACAGAGGCACACATTAGCGTTTTCTGCTATAACATACAAGTCTTCAGCATACAGTACATTCAAGCCATTTGGACAGAAAGCTGCTGATAAATGGTGTTAATATATGGTACTTTCCTTCCTAAAGCAGCTATTATGCTTTAATTCTGTTTTCTGCTCTTGAATCAGCAAACACTACCAAGTGGTACCCATCACACTGAACTTCACTGTACTAACAGAAAACCAGAAGCCTGGATGCTCTAGACTGATGAAGTGGGAGGAAGTATACTGTTCCCGGTCATTACATGTGTTACGAAACAATTTCCTCCTCCCCCCCCCCCCCCCCCCCACACAAACAAACA